GGTCCAAATATAAAACAGGCCAGGCTAAGGAATTAGTGGGAGTCAAACATAACATAACTGCAATGCACAGTATGGACCAAAAGATAAGTTTGCAATGAACACCCGAAAGTTTGCAAAACTGGAATTAAAGAAGATAAGACAGTGAAATGTTGTTTAAACAATTGATAGGTGTACACTAAGGTATTAAGGCAGCGTAATGTGTTTAAAGTAATACCTTAAATTTTCCCAAAACGGAACGGAAAGCTAAAACGGAATTTTAATAAATAAAATGGCCAAAATTGCTAGCTTTGGGAGAGAAACCATTGCTGGCCTCGAAATATCTCTTTAAATATAAATATTTAATTCATTAATAATGCTTTTTTCTTTACTGCTATTTACCTGCCACTTTGTTTTACTAACAGTATTTGTTCAATCTTGTTCTACGTTGTTATTCTTGTATAGGAGATCTCATCGGCTGCGTCTTACTCAATAAAGCCCTCGAGTCCAAGTCCAGACTGTGTGCAGACATTTTTTAAGGTAGGAAACATTGTCCAGTTCATGAGTGTGTTTTTGTGTGGTCATCCTTCCCGTTCATTTTAGACAAGACGTCTCACAAACCTGGATGTGAAGTATGTGGAAAAAATGGGGAGTAGACTGTAGAGTAAAGTCAAGCTGATCCAAAAATAAGTAAATAATCTTCTAGTCTGTTGAAATATCCAGCCTGGAGTTTTGGATATGATAAATAATTCGACCCAGTTTTTGGCTTCTGACCAGTTTAATACAGCATCCTGCCTTTATATGTAAGAAATGGTCAGTGAAATAATATTTCATCTCATTTTGAAGTTATTTAGCTGCCAAGGCGTTTTTGGAGTGCGCCATGAGAACCATGGAGAAACGTTTGACCACATCTCATCCGCTCCATGCATCAGTGGTCTGCCATCAACCACAGATAAATTAGCAAAAGTCGGAAAGGTAACAGTTTGGCCTACTAGCACCTTATTGGCTGCACCAGCCCTCTCTCCATCTGCTGATACTTTTGCCTTTGTTTTTCTTCCTGGCCGTCTCCTCCTCATCCTCTGAAAGCAGCATTTTCTTCTCCTCCACGAAAAAGAAAACAGCGATATGCATGACTGTTTTGAAGTGAACATATGTCTTGCACATTACAAGAGTCCAGAAGCAGTTTCCATCATCTGGTCACTGCTCCCCTGAGCCGATGTACAAACTGGGTCTACCACCTGAAATGCAACAACATGGAATAAGAAAGGTTCCCACCAATCCCATCTCTGCCTTCTGTCAGATGTGGAATTCACGACATGTCAGAAAATAAGATATGGCTTCACGTTTAGGGGGTGATGTCACTGTAACATGTCATGATTATCACAAGCAGGGCAATGTATAGAGTTTTTGCTCTTTAACCCTAACCAGCAAGATAGAGGCAAAACCCAATGACACAGGCACCAGGATCTGAAAGTTTGATTCCTATAAAAGTTTTAACAAAGTATGCAATAACTAAAGCAAAGTTTGTAATTGTTGACCAAAGTAAAGAAAAATCTTTGGACATTTCAAAACAACAGAAGTCCTTAAACGTAGCTTAAGTTAATATGAGTAGCAAAGAGACACCTAATGCTTGGCCAACACGCAGTAGTTAGTCAAAGTTATAGAAGGAACACACAAGTACAACTAACAACAGGGACACAAGTGAACACAACTGTGCTAGAAACAACACTCGCCAATGAATATTTTTTTAAATCAGCTAAAGGATAAATCAACAATAGCCTTTAAAGAAAATGTCGAGGACCACATTTTACGTAAATGAGCAAGGATTGGTCCTCGACCCAGAGTCTGGTATGGCCATATTAATACGAAGTGGAATTCATCCCACTGACAAAATATTTGCTGTCAAACACCTGCAGCATTTGGCATCTGGCTTCCAGCTTCATTATACCTGGCACCAACAGTAACAGTGTCCATAAATCTTGTTTTCAAAGTTACAGAATTTTCACTGCAACGGTCTGATCAGTCTGTTTTTCAGGGGAGATGATAAATTAGAAATTTTGAATTTCACTTATATTAACTATTGTGGAGGAACAGTTTCTCAAGGTGCCAGAATGGGCCCTCGACCCAGTGTTTGGACATGACCAGTTCAACATAAATTGTAATCCCAAGGAGTTTGGGGCTAGTAGTTTTTGGGTCATGACACAGGTTTTCTGGTATGTACTTATTTGGTCACTGCCACGTCATCTTTCCACACCTGTGACGAATGAAACAATTTTTGAAAATGATTCATGTTTTTTTTTCCCTTGAATTATGATCACCTGGAATTTGACAAGCACGGGGAAACAATGAGTCCGAAAATGAAAGGGGCTTCAACAGGGGGAAACAATAATGAGTCCGAAAATGAAAGGGGCTTCAAATGTTCTTGACTGTCAGTCCCATAAAAGTGTTATTTTTCTTTTCTTTCTTCCGCAGAGTTTAAGAAACAAAACTGCAGGTTCCTGCCACACACTCTGAAGAAATAAACTCAGAGCCTAAAAAGGGAATGGACTCGTCCTCCTCTGGCACCTTACATGACAAATGTGGATGGAAGAGGACAAAAACTTCCTCAGGAAGACCCACAGTGTCATCACTCTGGCTGCTAACAGGTCATTCTAACATATACAGTACAAAGGAAGTGTTTTGTCTGTAGAAGGGAGTTGTCCACAACGTTCTGGTCAATTAGGATCAATGCTTTCTTATTCAAGACTTACTCGGCTTAGATTTGTGGTGAACAGAGATGGTTGACCTTCTATATTCCACTCCTCCAAGGCTCTGACACATGCAGCTGCTGCCAACACAGGGTGTGGGCAAGGCCCAGTGATGGCTTTTGGAGGCCTATGTAGGTCAGATAC